AAAGATTTTGCATATGAAATTTCAAAATTTTCTGATGCATAAAGTATTTTTAATCTTAAAATGAAAATTACTTTGCATGATAGATAGGTAAGATGTGAAAAAAAAAGGCATGAAAGAAACAACGCTTTACAAACCTTAAGACTTAATAAAAAAAGAAATTAGATATTTTGCTTATGAAAGCATTGTAATGTTTATTGATAATCTGCCAAATTTCGTTAACATTTGCTTACTAAGTTATAGCATGAAAACTATAATAAGCACAAAATGGGACTGAGTCCAGGCTGAAAGAGTTAAATGGATTTTATGCATTATTTGAAAATTTAATTAATTTACATTTATTATATAAGTGCTACTTTTCTATAACATAGGTCTTTATGGAAGCTGATCCTATCTCAGTATGGTTGGGTCATGCATGAGGAAAAAAGATTGAGAACCACTGTCTTAGTGTATTGTTCTAGTTAAATCTGAAATTGTTAGTTGATCATACAGAAATTGCCATATTTTGGTGACAACTTTGAAAATAAGAAAATCTGCTAGAATAAATTCTCATATAAAACTTTGCTTAAGTTTGGAGTTCGATATCTTGTTTTGAAAAATGAAACTTGTAAAATATTAAAATATTGTTTTGGTGTTAATGAAAATTCTTCCCAAACCAAGTATTCGTTTGTTCAGGGGCCATTCTTTTTGAACTTGATTTGAATTGTAAGAATGTCAATCTAGTACACTTTACACACTACATAGAAACTACAATAAATGTTATATAGCTATTTCTTATGACTTGCATTACTTGAGGTCTGTAAATCACTAATATCCAGGTCTTTAAATCATTGAATAATCTAAGAAAATGAGAAGAACAAAGTGTTTTATTTGAACTACTACTTCATAGTTTTCTTGTTCTCTTTTGATTGTATTCTAGTAATTTTAAGTGGCCTCTCTTTCAGCTCACTTTAATTTCAATATTAATCCCATTGTAACTGCATCCACACCATTGCATTTTATTCGAGCCTCACACCTTCCAATATTGCACTTGCAATTCAAACTGTGGTAAACATGACTTTTGGACATTCTACCATTGTATATTGAATAGTTTAGTCCTGAAAACAGGTCTTGTATAGGTACATTATTTTGCAAAAAACAATTGACTTTCATCGAAACTTAAAACAGTAGAGAAAAACTCGTTTTCACATAAAATTTTACCTACAAAAAGTGAACCAATGAGCACAAAAGCTGTATTTTTTAAATTTCTAATAATAAATTATTTTTGAAAGGTAATTTTAATACTTTCTGTCATTTGCCAGATAGTGTGATCAACAAAATGGCCACTAATTTCTGTATTATCAACTTCTGATTTTAAGAGTTGAAATGCCACCAAAAGTGTTTGAAGTAACAGAAAATCTCATTAACACTGCTGATTTCATGAAGATTTATGTCTTGCATGATTTTCTAATGAAATAATTCTAAATGGAATGTTTTTGGTTCAGTTTTATGCTGTCCTGCCTAAGCTTTCACATATATGCATCTCTTTATTTCAAAAAATGTTGTTATAATTTACTTTCAACATTTTTCTGTGTCTGTCTCTATTTGATATCATTTTAAGCATTACATCATGTTTAGTCGTTCAATTTTTATAATTAATCTTTTGTATGTTCTGTTTACTTGTATATCATTGTATTCCAGCATAAGAATGTATACACAGACTTGTGCAAATTACAAAAACAAAATTTGGTTCTCAATCTGGTCCATAGACCCCTAGGGGTCCGTGAGCAGTCTAAAGGGTGTCCAAGGTAGTAAAGACAGAGTTTCCTTATTATAGTTTATAAAAATAAAAAAATATACAATGTTCAATTAAAGAAATAAAGAAAGTAATATTTTATTTGAAAATGTCATTAATTTACATATTATGTCAGTATCATTTTTATAGAATGTAGGATCAGCTAATACAGATACATATCTGTGTATGGGGATCTGTGAGATTGGATTTTATCCATGAGTGAAAAAACAAGGTTGAGAACCACTGACTTAGAGCATTGTTTTACTTAAAACATAACTAAGCATATCAAGTGACAAAGTTTAAAAACTTCTCTTTTCATGAACATTTATATTTGCATTTCATGTAAAACTTTTGATATCTTAACTGAAAATATTTAAATATATCTTGATTTGGTTGTTAAACTTGTTACTTGGAAATTTTACTAATATTTCTATTAATCACTGTAGTTGACCTGATTTTGAAATTTCTGAACAAGTTATTACATATGTTGATGCTGGATGAAGTGACATAGTTACATCTTTCACATTTTTAAAATTACAACTGTACTTAGGTGCTATAAAGAACTTATTGTTACTCTTTTACTTTCCATAGTTAGCCCCGGTACTCTGGATCGTGTTGTCCAGATCACTGGTTCCAATGAAGAATCAATACAGTAAGTTTCAGGTCCATCTAGCATCTTTGTAACTGCACCTACAACTGTTTCAGTAGTGTGAAGTATCTAATATACTTGTGTATCACGAACTATAAAAGACTTATTCTTTTTGTTACTCTGTCGAGAACACTTTGACACTTCCTTTTTTTTTTTGGCAATGCTCAACAATAAACATTGTTGCTCAGAAACAAAATTGTCATCTGATTGTTATTAGGCTAACTGTGGTGTTTATGTTGAATGCTCAATATTCATGTTGATTTGTTAGAAATGTTTGTTTTTTATTCTTTGTTTTTTGATAACTTTGGTGATATAACAACAAAATAGTTTAATTCAGAAGTTTTATGACATTGAGTTGTAGCCAAAAGCAAACATAAAATTTACCAAGTAGTGTTTCAGCTAAGCTTTACATTACATTTATGTATTAGGCCTAATGCTTAAATTAGACTATGAATAGGCCTAATATTACTAATGTTATAGTCAGTGTTTAAAAAGTTTTAAGTGGTGAATAAATATTAATTAATAAATATTTTTTGGTATTTTAATACATATATTACCTACTTATTTGTCAGAATGTCCACACTGTGTTTTCTACTTCCAGACCTAGAATACAATGAAAAGGCTCACAAGTGCTATTTAAGTCTCTTTCAGAGTACACATGTACTTTTGTTCATGATAACATTTCATTTTTCTGCACAGTTTTTACTAAAAATGTGGTGATTAAAGAATTACTTCAAGACTGATAAAATAAGGGAAGAGTATGTGCATTTTGGAGACAAATTCATTTTAGTTAAATTATATAATTTTCGTTAATCAGTCATGAATGATTTCCTATCATTTTTGATGGGCTTTTATACTAGTATGATTATATATCTATGTATAGTTATGGAAATAATCATAGAAACACAATTGTAACACATACATGAGTCACAAATAAGTAATGTTTACTAGACATTTAATTTATTAATGGTATAAAACATTATCACAGAAAATAAGAAAGAAAAGTGAACAAGTTTTTGTATGCGAGCTCTTTATGCACATGGAGCATTACATTTTTTTTCATCTTGTTATATAGGCTATCAATTTATGATTGTCTTATATTTTTTCAGTTGTCATTTGTTACTTTTTATCATTCAGTGTGGGCATTTTACAGATGAATCCCAGTTTCTATTGTTGAGCAACAATCAACAACAATGTTTGAAAGCAAAGAGGAGAATGGTATCATAGTCAATGTATACCATCTAAAGTGAAACACTTCAACCTTTTGATTTGGTTATCTCTTCTCAGAAGTGATTTTGAGTGCCTACATTCTGTTGAGGTTTCATGCTAATGTGTATCTTACTATTCTCAAGATAATATTTTATACCTGCATTTACAGCACGGTCATTGGCAAAATCTGTACTCAACCGTCATCTATCTAAAAAAAAAAAAAAATATATATATATTTTGAAAAGTTTTCTACTTGGACCACTTCTATTATTAACAGTGCCAGTTTTATATACTCTCTACAGAATCTTATGTACAGTTCGTATTAGAACTTGTAGTCTCGTACTTTTTTGTATGGAGTATTCTTGACCAGTCAAAACTTTTATTTCTACACACTTGTCCTGGGAGTCTTGACCAGACTCATGCTACTACTACTGGGCATGTGTGACTGTGCTTTATATTGGTGTGGTAGTTGCTGAATGGTTGGATGACAATCAATTACATTGTAAGCTATCAGCATGTGACTATTAATTTTTACTTGGCAAAGGGATGGCATTCCCATAGTATTTGGTTTATATACTTTTCTTTTTTCTCTGCTTCACTCTGAATGTACATGTAATTTAGAGCTGTAGTGGTTAAAAAGAAACGATATAAGTGAGCACCTTGTTCACAAGATGGGAAGTGGATAAACATAAATTGTCTGTATTTACCCTTAACTACACCATTTACACAGTTCTGAGTCTGTATCGTGGACTGTTCTCACATCAAGATACACATCATTCAATATGACTGTCAAGGATTAAAGTGTAATGCATTTGTAGTGTTTAAGATGTAATTATCTTGTGCAGACTGTTCCAACATCATTTGAATTCTGAAACATTCTTTTATAAATAATCATGTTTACAAGCAGTAAAGTCAATAGTGTAAGCACACACCAACTTTAAAAACTATGCTATAAATTAACAATCATCTAGTTTTCTCAACACTGTCCATTTGTTTGAATCCTATGTTAGCACATTTCCACTCAATCCTTCAGTCAATCCATTGCACTTATGAAAGTTCTCTTTATGTTACTACTTACAAAGCAATAAGACATTATCAACAGCATCTAATTTGTCTACAAACCCTATTTACTTCCCAGGAAATTTGATTCCTCCATTCATCACTTAATTGAGGCTGAAGTTTTTGGTATTGTGGATTGTTTTGTCTTTTTTTTTATTTTATTAGGAATGCTAAGCTCTTAATTGAAGACACAATTCGACGTAATGCCTCACCAGCAAGGGTAAGTACAGTTCTTGTAATTGATGAAATTTCACATTTTATTGGTAACCTATTTCAAAGTTTATAGAGTCAGTAGAGTTTGCATGTGTTTGTATTGGTGGCTGTTATAGATGTAAAACCTGTAATAAAAACAAGATGTTGTGTAAATGCTCTACCTATCTATCTGCCTATCTTTTGAACAAAGGCAGACAAAGTGTTGGTTGTTAAATCATGTGTAGTTCCATATTTACCAAAAAATAAATTACAGGGTGTTTAGAAATTGCTAAACAAGTAAACAGTTTTTCTAGTATAATTGTTTGTTTTGACAATCAACTGCAAAATCTTAAGAAAAATTTAAATTTTGAAAAGTAAATTTTAGAGGCCCTGTAGTTACCCAAGGACATATATGTGGGTATTTATAATTATCAAATGAAAGATGGCCCAGTATATAAACTGTAATTCTGTTTATTTTTATACAATGTTGATAATGTGTCATTTCATTAAAAAAAAAAAACTGTTAAACTAAGTACTGTGTATACAGAAAGTGGCTTTGTGTTTTTTTGCTCACTAACCTTGAGATTGTTAAAAACACAATTTATAATCTTGGGTAAATTCATAAAAGTTATGTAAATGTTGATTTAGTTATTTACTTTGTAGAAAAACATTACTTTATGAGATTAGGAATGGGTGCAGATGGCAGAATATAAACTAGTCACTTTTTGAGAGTAAAAATTTACAATACTTCTGTTTTTTTTCAGGAGAGTACAGGACATGAGTGTAGTGAATCCTCATCAAGCTTGGCCAGTAATCTCTCTGAGGACAGCAGTGCTCTTCAGACCCCTTTCAGTATTGGAGGTAGAAAATCTCTTATCCACAGCTACAGCACAGAAGATGCCACATTTTGTGAATATAGCCATACTGTGTATGTTGGGAGGAATGCTGTTAAACTTTCCAGTGACAAAAAGGATTTAGTAACAGTAAGGAAAGATTATCAACATCTTAAATACCATAGGCTAAAAAACTATGTCCATATTTAGTAATATTTGTTTTGTATCTGTAGGAGTATTTCTATTCAATCCAAAGACACAATATTTCCTAGTAAAGCATTGAACTGGATAAAATCAACCTGCTTTAAATATTTTGTACATTAAAATATACTAGTTATTGCAAAAAAAACAATTTACAAAGTAAGAAATATTTTCATGTCTTTAAGATATCTTCATGTAGATTATGGCTTACCATATTAAAAAAAAAAATTGTGTGTATATATATTCTCACACACATATACAGACATTTATTATACAGTCTGAATTTGAATGATATTTTAAAGATTACAAGAAACCAACTAAGGAACATGGTTTAAAGTAAATTTTGTGTTACAGCATAAATAAACATTGTTGTTATGAATTATTGATTTTCAGTTGTAGTAGTTAATTTAATTTCTCTCAAAATACACAAATAAAATCTTGTCACACTATTTGTTTATATCTTTAGCACTTTGGAGAAGCTGGAAGTTATTTTACTACCATAAAAGAGAGAGAGAGCAAACCAAGACGTATTTCTAGCTGGTTAGCTATAAAGTCTTCAGTACAAGATTCCAATTGAAAATTGATTTGAGTAATCTTGTTATTCTAGATTGTTAACACTTTCAATATGGGCTCGGCCAATTTGACTGACCATGTGACCTTTTTGTACTCGTTTAAAGTCTTTATAGATTTAATACTTAACTCTCAATATAGTGGGGTATATCTTCACGAAATTTTACAGTCTTTCAGTTAATATTATAAGTATTTCACATACAAAAAATAAAATTTTTTAGTGAAGTATTTTTAATAAAATAAAGATTTGTTCATGAATATATTGAGTATTTGTTTTGAATAGTATGTATGAAAAGTAATTTTCATGTTAAAATTAAAAATACTTTTCCTCAACTCCAAAATCTCAAATTTCCTTTGTGTAATTCCTAAAACCTCCTAAATGCATTTCAAACGTTTTTTTTCAGTAAAACTTTATAGTTTATCTGTTATTTTCTTTACCCTATCTCAAAATGGGATCAGTCAACTTGAACAACCTTGTAACCATAAAAAAAACAAACAATCAAAATAAACCTAAATTAACCTTTTTTTTCTTTCTAGAATGACTTCATATTGTAACATGAAAGTACATTTGTTTATCCTAAGTAGCTTTAAGTTCGTAACATTATACATCTATTTATAATTAAATTTTATTATTTTATTGCCCTTTGAACCATGTCTAACTACTATCTGTGCCATTATAAGTTGTAAGTCACTCGGGGAAACGTGCAGCTCATGTTATGCTATCGAATTACATTACCCATGAGTTGCTCGCGTGCGTACCTTTTGGACAATTATAATTATATTATTATTATTACTTATTTTACCTA